TGAAGTCTTCTATGCTCTGTTTCCAATGCATCACATTCCTTTTCCAATTCTTCTGACTTCATGCTCGGCTTGAAACCGGTGACAGTCATACTCGCACTAGGCGATGACGGATGTGGCAAACTCGACGACGGTGTTTTGGGGATTGTTTTAGCAAAGCTACTATAATCTCGGCATGCGAGCTGCTGCTGTTTTTCTTTTTGGATTAACGTCGACGCCTTCTTCCATTGTTATGAACAATATAAAGAATATACATTAAAATCATTATGAGCGCTGTACCGCCATGCGGGTGGGCGTGCTTGCTTGCCTAATGTGCAATGGAAGGGAGATAACTCCAGCTGGACATATGGCCGATAGGACGTCTAAGTGAAGCAACTGTGCAAGTACATGCTGCCTCACGTTAAAATGTATTTTAAAACATTAAAATAACACTTAAACAAACTGTTTTAGGCATCTGATTTATCAATCAGACAAGCATATACCTGTAAATGACTCTTTGAAACGCATGCTTCGTGTCTTCGGTAGTGAGATGAAAGAAGGCGATGCACTAATAATTAATTCACGCAAGTAAAAACTTAAAATGTATCGGTGCACGATAAAAAGCGAGAAATTCAATGTTTTAACGCATAACAAAACTATGGAAAATATTTATCAGTTTATGTTCTTCAAAGTTCCTATACTTTGTGTCTTATCTGTTTGTTTGACTGACATTTGGACAGAGACAAGGTAATGCTGATAGCGAAAAGATAGACCATTTCTGCTGGCAACTCTGAACGTCGCTCTAAATCCAAAAGTCGTTCAAAAAGTAAATCGGTGGAACAAACAAATGGTGAGCAAGAAGATCGGGGTGAGTCTGATGCCTCTAGAGCCTCATCCCCTACAAGAAGCGAAAAAGAAAGGAGTGGTTCTCCAAGTTCTGCTGATGATTGAGTATCCCCAAGTCCATGCCCTGCATTGTCCCAACCCTTCCGCTGTGAGGGGAACCGACATCCTTGAAGGAAGTAGAGATTTTCTACAAGTCATGACAGTCAGCATGAGTTATTTGTATTTCTTTTGACATGATGCCATCCATTTCCAAACCTTTCTATTTGTTTTACCATAGAACGTATTTTTGCATCAAAGATAACTGAGAGCTATCATGTTTTATTTCTTTACCTTAGATGTACTAGAATTTGTGGAAACATTTATCACCAGAAAACAGCATTAATCCTAAGAAAACAGGATTTTAATAAGGTGCTGTTTGAATTAATGTTGTTTTCATGTTGTGTTGCTTGTGGAATTCACAAAGGCCGTTTTTGACAGTGAAGGCATACAGTGGTTAGTTGTAAGCCCAGGGCAGATAAGATCTAGTTTGCATGTTGAACATGATTGAATGAGTAGACAATATTACGTTTTATCCTATTTATGATTGTGTATAGCGTAATAAGAGAGCCATTGATCTGTGGGGTTGTTTTGTTGTGAGGGTGTTCTTTTGGAGGGGTGGGGGTAGGGGGTGTTAGCTACTTTGATATCAGGTGTAATTAGTCCTTCTATTGAACAAACTAATATCAACACTTCACTGTGAACATCTCTGAAAAATGTGGATTGATGAGGAAGGAACAAACCAATCTATCTGTATCCACCCATGATGGCAGTTTAGCGCCAACATAGAAAATAATATTCTTGTTAAAACGTTTGGCAATGAATATCCCCTACGTATCTTAAGTAAGAGGTTTCACCTTGTTGAAGAATCTGACAACATCCTAGGATTTCCAAGTTAGTGCCCTTCACACTGGTTCCAGCTTGATGTGTTCAGATATCAAGTTTGTCAACCTTGTTTTGTCTGCGTCACATCTGCCCATCAGTTTCAACAAAGTGTTCAGCAGCTGTACCGGGTTCCGTTGAGACATACACTCAGTGAAGTACTGTTCAAGGTAGCATTATATCAATCTCCATGGTGTCCTATTACACAGACTGATGCCTGTGATATCAATCACAGGATTGTCTGGTCCAGATTCTATTATGTACAGACAGCCATCATACAGGAGGAATATTGCTGAGAACAGAGTAAACAACAAATTAAATCTCCGGGAGACAATTCTAAGATACATCGTGATTGGTAATAACTGTCATCACTGTCGTTTTGGGTTTTCTCAACATGTACTTCATTTGAGCTTCATAGTGGCATTTGGCACATGATGAACTTTGACTGGTTGTGGAGTTTTACATGTTGCGTGTTATGTAAATTTGGTCACATGATGCATCACAGCATTGTATGTTTGAATATTATTACACAGGACTGTGTTACAATATTGTGTCACGACAGATCACCTTGCATAAACCGTTAGTCATGTGTCGTGTTATTGCATTCAATAAAGTCTTGAAACATTTTTAGCATCCTCTATATCTCCCAAATCATACATCTTTTATTTCCGTAAACCTACACTAACTCTGAATCCATTCTGTGGTTCTTATGAGGACAAATTACCCAAACTTGATGTCCTTTTGCCATTTTAACCTCTAACATACCCAACAGAATGTGACTTACAAGCCAGCTTCAATGTTCGGTTGACAATATTAACACCATGGAGGCCAGTCCCTTTGATTTTGAAGTTCTTGAGAAATTCAGTATTTTAAAAAACTGTAAATCAATTGATGGAAAGGATGTCTAACTGTCAAATACTACTAGTTGGTGGCTTTGGTTTCTAGGTGATGAGTTACCTCCCTTTCTCTGTTCTTAATGTCAAGGTTAAATTGGTTGATAAAATGGCAATGAAAACCGAGGGGGGTGGTAACAAGGACCATGGTAATGGCTCAAGAGGTTTAGTGTAGGATTACTGAAAGCCCTTGGTGATAAAGAGGATGCATTATCAGATGTTCTGTGCATTCAGTCATGTTTAAGTCAACATGTCCGATGACTTGGATAATGTGTTGTGACAAAACCTCATGCTTTACGTCATGTTGTGACATGATACTTTTGTGCGTGATGTAACGCTACTTCCATGGTTTTGACATAAATTACGATCTTAGAAAATGTCATGCTTTACGTCATGTTGTGACATGACACTTTAGTGTGTAATCTAACGCTACTTCCATGGTTTTGACATAAATTACGATCTTAGAAAATGTCATGCATTGTGTCATAATACTCCAAACCTCTTCCAGTGTCATGATGTTAATCCAATGTGCTAAAGCTGGCGTACTTGTATATTTAACATTGTCTGTTAACATGTGTGCCTATTGGTAACATGTCTGAGTTCTAGACATGCAGGTCGCTTAATTAAACTAATTGTCAAACCAGGAAGAAGGCATTGATTTAGGGCCGGGAAATGTCAAATGTTCACAAGTTGTACCATGTGTTTTCATTTGTATCACTAACTCTGGATCTCCACAGTTTTCTGTTTGTAGTCTGGCAGTGATGGGTGACCCTTTTCCTCCATTGTCAAATGTGGTAGATGACCCAATAATTTGCTAGAAGTAACTGGTTCATTTTTCTTTGTTTTGATACTTTTAAGACAAATAAATGTTGCTAACATTCTGAAATAATTATTATCACAAAATGCCAGTTAATTTTGAAGTCAAAAGAAGGTGCTTATTTCACGTAACTGATATTTTATCATCAATGCTTGTCAGTAAGTTTTATTATGAGATTGTTGTGAATAAAAGCCAACAGAAGAAGTCTGTCTCTGTTTTGTTTTCATTTTCTCAGGTGTAACGTGATGAACCAGTAACTTGGAACTGTCAGGACTTTAAAGAGAATGGTGATTGACCTACTTTCTAAATTCTTCAGTGATCACCCGGACTCCCTCATCCTGTGTGATCCTGGATCAGACCATGTTGGTCAATACTGTGCCCATGTTTTGTATCCAGGGGCGTTCATGAACAACACACATGGTAGTTTTTTATGGAGGATTTACTTGCATCAGAAGTTGTGACTTGACTGACATGTTATCGTATCAAAATTGTATCTAGATCAATACTCAATCGCTGGGTCCATGCCATGTCTGTATCGGTCAGCACTCTCCTTATGAACGTTAGTATCTGTCCATGTTCATAGGTACCATGGTCATGTTGGTTCGTGCTGTGCTCACGATTGTCAGTACCATGGCTCTGCTTCTCATTTGAATACATTATCTCATTACAACATTATATACATAAACATACGTAAAATAGAAAAAGTTAACACACTAAAACACAATCTGTCCATGTTCATTGGTACAATGGTGGTCATATTTGTCAGTATGTGCCCATGTTGGTTTGTGCCGTGCTCACGATTGTCAGTGCCATGGCTGTGCTTCTCAACTGAATACATTATCTCATTACAGCATTATATACATAAACATCCGTAAAATACAAAAAGTTAACACACTAACACCCAAATTGTATTCATCAACACTGTATCGGTCAGCACTGACCTTATGGACGTCAGTATCTGTCCATGTTCATAGCTACCATGGTCATGTTGGTTCGTGCCAGGCTCACGATTGTCAGTATCAGGCCTAACTTTTACATATCACAGTTGCATAGATCAATACTCAATCACTGGATCCATACCATGCCCATGTCGGTCAGCACTGTCCTTATGAACATCAATATCTCAGCACTGTCCTTATGAACATCAATATCTGCCCATTGTTCCCATGTCAGTCAGCACTGTCCTTATGAACATCAGTATCTGACCATGTTCCCATGTCAGTCAGCACTGTCCTTATGAACATCAATATCTGCCCATTGTTCCCATGTCAGTCAGCACTGTCCTTATGAACATCAGTATCTGACCATGTTCCCATGTCAGTCAGCACTGTCCTTATGAACATCAATATCTGCCCATTGTTCCCCATGTCAGTCAGCACTGTCTCAGCACTGTTATGAACATCAGTATCTGCCCATGTTCCTATGTCAGTCAGCACTGTCCTTATGAACATCAATATCTGCCCATTGTTCCCATGTCAGTCAGCACTGTCCTTATGAACATCAGTATCTGACCATGTTCCCATGTCAGTCAGCACTGTCCTTATGAACAGCAATATCTGCCCCTGTTCCCATGTCAGTCAGCACTGTCCTTATGAACATCAGTATCTGACCATGTTCCCATGTCAGTCAGCACTGTCCTAATGAACATCAGTATCTGCCCATGTTCCCATGTCAGTCAGCACTGTCCTTATGAACATAGTATGTGCAATAGTATGCTCATGTTGGATAGTGCTGTGTTCACGATTGTCAGTACCATGGCCGTGCTTCTCATCTGACTACATTATCTCATTACAACATTATATACATGATATGCATAACATATGGAAAGTACAAAAAGTAAACACAGAATCTGTCCATGCTCATGTGCAATGGTGGTCATGTTTGTCAGTACCCGGCCATGTTGATTCATGTCGTGCTCACATGAAGAGATGCACATTATCTCATTACAACATTATAGACATGATATACATAACATATGGAAAATACAAAAAGTAAACACAGAATCTGTCCATGTTGATGTACAATGGTGGTCATGTTTGTCAGTACCCGCTGGTTCATGTCGTGCTCACATGAATACATGTACATTATTTCATTACAACACTATATACAGGATATGCATAACACATGGAAAATACAAAATGTAAACACAGAATCTGTCCATGTAACCATGTTCGTCAGTACTGTAACCATATTCATCAGTACTGTTACCATGTTCGTCAGTACTGTTACCATGTTCGTCAGTACTGTTACCACGTTCGTCAGTACTGTCACAATCTTCGTCAGTACTGTAACCAAGTTCGTCAGTACTGTAACCATTTTCGTCAGTACTGTTACCATTTTCGTCAGTACTGTGACCATGTTCGTCAGTACTGTAACCATGTTCGTCAGTACTGTTTACATGTTTGTCAGTACTGTTACCATGTTCGTCAGTACTGTAACCATGTTCGTCAGTACTGTGCCCGTGTTCGTCAGTACTCTGACATTGTTTGTGAGTACCTTTACCGTGTTGGTCTGTCTGTGCCATGCTGATGCTTGTCAGAACTATTTCCATGTTGGTTAGAATGATCTAAAATACTGTTAAATTCCATAACATAATCAATAATAATATTCTTGAAAACCTTTCCCATAAACATGAAAACTAAATGCTTATAGTTAACACTGTACGTCTGACAATATAACAGAGTTTATGAATAAAAACTCAAAAAGAAAAGTTAGCACAACAGGTGTTCATTCCAAGGACACAGAAACATGCAAAAACGCAAACTTGATACTAGTAGAAATACGGAAAACACAATCTGTACAAAAAGTATGGACCACAACATTCATTGTAAAAAAATCACATGTTTGGTTCTGTATTCTTTTATTACCGTGTGTTAACTCTGAAATCACGTAACTAAACCGAACTGAACATGATCAAAGAAAAATGAAAATAATATATAGAAGCAGAAAAGGCAATACAAATGGTTTAAATTAGTGAACGCACCAGTATCTAACAGGTGCGATGATACCTGCACTCCTGAAACTCACCGCAGATGTCTTGACTGAGGCACACACTCTGCTATGAATACACAATGCCATTTAGAAAGTTTTCAGATGTAACATATGTTATACTTGGGATTACACTTTCTCAGTAAAGTACAGATTCTAGTACTATTGCTGGGTTGAGCCCCATCTAGGATTCGAACTCACGCCCTCAGAGTCAGGCACCTCATGGCTAGCACACAAATTCAGCTGCTTAACCCGCTCACAAAACTTCTAAAATGATCAAGTCTTGTATATCAGGGGAGGTAACTCCAAAACACACCTCTGGTGGAGATTGGCCACTACTGCATGTTACGACCATTTCAGTCTTTTCCTGCCTCAAACAATCACTTCTAATAAACCTACAGCAATCTCAAAGTGACATAACACTTAAAATATCTTGGAGCAAATTTGCTGAAGTGAGGTAACGCAAATGCTGAAGTGAGGTTATCATTCTCACTCACTCACTTTTAATATACAGTGTACATGAAGGACGTACACAAATTCGTTAAATATACATGTACTTTACAAATTGTTTGTAAGTAGGGCCATTCATATTATGATTGGTTCATTGGAGAATTACTGGAATTGTCCACATCATTTTGTAAGCTCTGTGGATACAAATGGTGACATTATCAAATGTATGGTCAGTCGCCACAAACAGCTTATCACACAAATATGAAAACTGAAAATCATGTTTTGAGTTTTTCCTAGTCTGGGCATTTCTGAAAAAAGAGAATACAGTTGAATTGTGATCCTAAATTTCTGAACTCAACTGAAATATTGCTGACTGTGCACAAAAGATTGTATATGTGAGGGTAGAGGCTGCGATTGTTTTCAAATATAGTAGGTGCCTAACTATAGACATGTTACCTCTCTCACATGCATACATTAGACAGTCTCTGCCCTTCTCATAAGTAAGTGACAAATCAGCTCCCTCTGACACGAGAAGGTTATAAACATCTGAGTGTCCAGCTTTAGAAGCCGTCATGACTGGTGTCATGTTGTCGTGATCTCTCCTGTTGATGTTGATTGTTTTTAAAGAGAGTAAGTGCCTAACTATACACATTTTACCTGAGGTTCTTGCAAACATGTTATCTGTTTCAAATGCATACATCAGACGGTCTCTGTCCCTGTCATCAGTAAGTGAAACACCAGCTCCCTCTGACACGAGAAGGTGATAAACATCAAAATGTCCGGCTATAACTACCATTATGACTGGTGTTTGGTTAAAGCAATCACTCCTGTTGATGTTGATTGTTTTCAAAGACAGTAGGTGCCTAACTATAGACAGGGTACCTCCCTCACATGCATACATCAGACAGTCTCTGCCCAAGTCATTAGTAAGTGACACATCAACTCCCTCTGACGCAAAAAGTTGACAAACATCAGAGTGTCCGGCTTTAGCTGCTATCGTGACTGTTGTCATGTCGTCCTAACCTCTTTTGTTGATGTTGATCTTCTTCTTCAAAGACATGAGCTGCCTAACTATAGACATGTACCTCCCTCACATGCATACATCAGACAGTCTCTGCCATTGTTATCAGTAAGTGACAGATCAGCTTCCTCTGGCATAAGATGGTGAAAAACATCAGAGTGTCCAGCTATTACTAAGCTGCCATCATGACTGGTGTACTGTCGTTGCATTTTCTCCCGTTAATGGTGATTTTGTTCAAAGACAGTGGGTGCCTAAATATAGACATGGTACCTCTCTCACATGCATACATCAGATAGTCTCGACCCTTGTTATCTGTGACACATCAGCTCCCTCTGACACAAGATGGTGATAAACATCAGAGTGTCCGGCTTCAACTGCTATCATGGCAGGTGTCATGTTGTTGTGATCTCTCCTGTTGATGTTGATTGTTTTCAAAGACAGTAGGTGCCTAACTATAGACATGGTATCTGATCTTCTTAGGAGCCATATGAACGTGTTACCTCTCTCACATGCATACATCAGACAGTCTCTGCCCTTCTTATCAGTAAGTGACACATCAGCTCCCTCTGACACAAGAAGGTGATAAACATCAGAGTGTCCGGCTTGAACTGCTATCATGGCAGGTGTCATGTGGTTGTGATCTCTCCTGTTGATGTTGATTGTTTTCAAAGACAGTAGGTGCCTAACTATAGACATGTTACCTCTCTCACATGCATAGATCAGACAGTCTCTGCCCTTCTTATCAGTAAGTGACACATCAGCTCCCTCTGACACAAGATGGTGATAAACATCAGGGTGTCCGGCTTGAACTGCTATCATGGCAGGTGTCATGTGGTTGTGATCTCTCCTGCTGATGTTGATTGTTTTCAAAGACAGTAGGTGCCTAACTATAGACATGATATCTGAGCTTCTTAGGAACCATGTAAACGTGTTACCTCTCCCACATGCATACATCAGACAGTCTCTGCCCTTCTTATCAGTAAGTGACACATCAGCTCCCTCTGACACAAGAAGGTGATAAACATCAGGGTGTCCGGCTTTAGCTGCTATCATGGCAGGTGTCATGTTGTTGTGATCTCTCCTGTTGATGTTGATTGTTTTCAAAGACAGTAGGTGCCTAACTATAGGCATGGTACCTGAGCTTCTTAGGAGCCATATGAACGTGCAACCTCTCTCACATGCATACATCAGACAGTCTCTGCCCATGCCATCAGTAAGTGACACATCAGCTCCCTCTGACACAAGAAGGTGATAAACATCTGAGTGTCTGGTTTGAACTGCTATCATGGCAGGTGTCATGTTGTTGTGATCTCTCCTGTTGATGTTGATTGTTTTCAAAGACAGTAGGTGCCTAACTATAGACATGTTACCTCTCTCACATGCATACATCAGACAGTCTCTGCCCTTCTTATCAGTAAGTGACACATCAGCTCCCTTTGACACAAGATGGTGATAAACATCAGAGTTTCTGGCTTTAACTGCTATCATGGCAGGTGTCATGTGGTTGTGATCTCTCCTGTTGATGTTGATTGTTTTCAAAGACAGTAGGTGCATAACTATAGACATGGTATCTGAGCTTTCTAGGAGACATATGAACGTGTTACCTCTCTCACATGCATACATCAGACAGTCTCTGCCCTTCTTATCAGTAAGTGACACATCAGCTCCCTCTGACACAAGAAGGTGATAAACATCAGAGTGTCCGGCTTGAACTGCTATCATGGCGGGTGTCATGTTGTTGTGATCTTTCCTGTTGATGTTGATTGTTTTCAAAGACAGTAGGTGCCTAACTATAGACATGATATCTGAGCTTCTTAGGAGCCATGTAAACGTGTTACCTCTCTCACATGCATACATCAGACAGTCTCTGCCCTTCTCATCAGTAAGTGACACATCAGCTCCCTCTGACACAAGAAGGTGATAAACATCAGATTGTCCGGCTTGAACTGCTATCATGGCAGGTGTCCTGGTGTTGTGATCTCTCCTGTTGATGTTGATTGTTTTCAAAGACAGTAGGTGCCTAACTATAGACATGTTACCTCCCTCACATGCATACATCAGACAGTCTCTGCCCTGTTCATTAGCAAGTGACACATTAGCTCCTTCTGACACGAGAAGATGATAAACATCAGAGTGTCCCGTTTCGGCAGCCATCATAATCGGCGTTGTGTTTGATAATGTTCTTTGATTAATGTCGATAATTTCACAAGACAACAAATATTGTACGGTTGATAAATGACCACTCGCACACGCCATATGTAAACAACTCTGACCTTCCAATGTCTCAGCAGCGAGAGCAGCACCATGTGACACCAGGAACTTGAGGATCTCCTCCTGTCCTGTCTCAGCACACAACATTGTAGATGTAAAACCCTGACCATTCCGAACATTAATCATACGTGGAAACTTTTCAACAACAACTTTCACAATATCACGTTTTCCTGAAATACACGCATGATGAAGGCAACTGTTTCCTTTCCAGTCCTTCAATAAAACATTTGCTCCTTCTTGCAGTAGAAAGTTGAACACATCCAACTGTCCAGCCTCTGCAGCAATTATGAGCAGTGTTTTGTCTGACACCATCCTTCTGTCTGCATGATATTCTCCATGATGCTTTAGCACATCAACAATACGTTGCAGATTCCCCACCTTGTCAGCCTTTATGCAACCTGTAATACTGTCATACAGGTCTTTGACATGTTGAGGGGAGAGATTTTCCTTTTTACTCATCAGTAATAACGACTGTCGGAACAGTAAATCATTATTAGACAGGGAAGTCCAGTATAGAAAACATTCACCAGATGTTCTGTCCTTTTGGTGGACTATATAAGGCAAGTCATTTTTCAGTTCTGTCATCAGTGAGGATGCTAATTCATCGTTTTTGAATACAGGGTGGCCTACAGTCCATCTGAAGCAATCTTCACGGATACCTTCCACTAGCCTTTCGATCATCAGTTGGTAAAGACGAGAAGTGATGTAGATCATGTTTGTCACATCATCAGCTTGGGTTGTCTGTCGAGCATCAGTCATACTTGGTCTAACCCTTTCATACAAAAACTGAAGGGAACAGTGTTTTAATAATAAAACACTGTTGAGATTCCCAAAAGCACATGCTGCAGCATCATGGATGGCTGGATGAGAAAAGGAGGCTACATGATTCTCCACGACACAGTAGGTGCCGGTAAAATTGCTTATCTCTCCTTCTATATCTGTATCAGTGCATGGTGCTACCTTCTCCTTTACAACATGAAACAGATCTGTGACCTTCTTGTCTGTCCCACACATCAAGGAAGCAAGGTCCAGTTTCCCTCCACACAGGACCAGGAGAATCAGAGCAGCCGATCTGCTGCTGCGTTCACGGACAATGGTGTTAAGGTCACCTCTCAGGTATGTCACCGGCTTCAGGAAAAAGTCATCAAGACTGTACATCTGCAACACTGGGTTCGTGAAGTACAGTTTACAGGTCAAAGGATATCCAAACATGCTGTCTTTTAACTCAGTAACAGTTTTCATGTCCTTATCGGAGATATCGATTTGGCTTCTAGTCCTGAACAATGTCATGATTTGTTTCTTTTCTTCAGTGCTTAAACATGTCTTGATCATATCAACAATGGTTTCAGGTTTTAACAGATTTACTTTGAACTGATGTAGTCTTGCACAGCCCTCATTCCAGTTGTAGTTCCTGGATGTGAAAATGAAGCGAAGCTTATGGATGCATTTTTTTGTCGTTTCGTCTTCACATTGCTTCTCATCTTCCTTCTTCATATGTTTGTTCACTTTGTTCTTTCTTTCTTCCTTGGCTGCTAGCTCCTCGTCTTTTGATAAACACAGTAAAATATCGACCAAGGCATTGAACACTTTACGTAATTTCTCCAAGCTGGTAGGGAATGCAACAGAACCAAAGACATCATCAAACACAACCAACATGTCATACTTTCGCTTAATGACGACATCAATGTCAAACTCTTCAATACTTTCAACAAACAATACTTGATAGTTTTT